GAGAAGTGGTGGCACGGTATGGGGTGCCTACATCTATTGTGCTTGACCGGGGTGTGCACTTTACTTCCAGGTTCTAGAAGAGATTTCCTGAGAAATTGGGTACCCAGGTACACTTCAGTACATCATACCATCTGTAGACGGACGGGCAGATTGAGCGAACTATTCAGAGACTTGAGGATATGCTATATGCATGTGTCATCAATTTTGGTGGGAGTAAGTACTCCTATCTTCTGTTGACTGTGTTTTCTTATAACAATAGCCATCATGCCAATATCGGAATGTCCCCGATCGAGCTCCTTTATGGAAGGAGATGTTGAAATCCTATATGTTGGGGCGAGCTGGGACAGAGGTTCATGGGGAGCATAGAGGTAGTGCAAAAGACGACTAAGCTTATACAATAGGTTCGACAACGATTGTTGACAGCACAGAGCCGCCAGAAGAGTTATGTGGATCGGCGACACTCTGATGTAGAGTTTCTGGTGGGGGATCTTGTGTTCCTGAATGTGTCGTCATAGAAGGGTGTTATCTGCTTCAGGAAGCGGGGCAAGTTGGGCCGTATGTTTATTGGCCCTTCCGAGTGTTGGCCCGTGTGGGCAAGGAGACCTACCGGTTGGAGCTAGCGAAGGAGTTGAGACAGATTCATGATACCTTACATGTTTCCCAGCTAAGGAAGTGTGTAGTTGAGGGGAAAACTGTGGTCCATTTGGAGGACATTCAGGTCGATGATCGCCTGAATTATGTGGAGAAGCCTGTGGCCATTTTGGATCGGAAGGTGGAAAACCTTGGGGAACAAGGTTGTGAGTTTAGTCAAAGTTCAATGGCCACACTGAGGAGGTTCGGAGTGGACATGGGAACCTAAGTCCGAGATTCGTGAGCAATATCTAGAGTTGTTTCCTGAGGATAACTTCAAAGGCAAAGTCTGATTCTAGTAGGGGAGAATTGTAACATTTCGAAATCTGGTATATTTTGTTATCTCTTCAACCTTTGTCAAAAGTGTCACATTTGGTCCCTCATGGAAAAAGGCTTGCAAAATGGTTGTACGTGGGGCGTACATATGAGTACGCGTAGCGTACTCATGCAAGGTGCATGATCACGGATGGCCAGCTAGTACGTTAAGCGTACATGTGGTACGCCTAGCGTACTAGCCCAAATGTTAAACCCTAATTTTAAGGGTTGCCCTTATTTAAAGAACATTCCAACTTTATTTCTGGCCACCCTTATCATCCTCCAACCATCTCATGAACCCTAATCTTATGTGAGTTGCTTGTGTGTGAAATATTTCAAGTTTTGAGTGTTCTTAGCTCTTATAGTTGAAGAAGGAGGTTAGAGAAGAAAAAAAAAGAATGTGCTAACAAGCTTAATTATCTAGAAGCTTCCCATCTTTATGCATCATTTTCAGGTATAAAGTCTTTACCTTGGCATGTTTCCTTTAAGATCTATTTGGTTTAAGATTTATGAGCTAAAAGTCCCCAAGTTTGGACCTTATGAGTTTGGGACTCCCCAGGATGTTTTAGTTGTCCTTTCATCCATATTAGGACATTTAGATTCATAAAAATGATTGCTTGATCATTCCCTTTAGCTCAGACATGAGTATAGTAGCTTAGAAGGGATGAAATGATGCTCTTAGCTCTTCCTACCCATGTAATGTCTTAAAGCCAATAACTTTATAGATTAAGATGTCTTGGACTAGTCAGATATATGTTTGGGTTGGTTGTCTTAAAATGAAAATTTTGGTTTGGAAATGTTGGTGTTATATATGCTCCTGAGTCGTCCTAATTATTCCGGCGACACCTTCATCCTTCCTCCTCCGACGAAACTATCTTCTCTGATTAACTGAACGCCGCCACCAGTGACTAATCTGAGTCGAATCTCCTTCGACAGTTTAATCATTCACAACCTCCAAACTTCAAAGAGCCTATATCTCATGTGTTTTCTCTTACTTTTCTATTTGTTCAAATCAATTTGTTATCAATCAAACATGTTTACTTGTATTGTAGGTCTGATTCGATACGTAGCTTGTCTCCGTCACGAAAATCGACCGGTGGCTACCCTTGGCTCAGGCTGTGCGGCGAGGTCGGAAGGGGGAAGTCTGTGATTCACTTTCTCATTTCTTCAACTCTGATCTCAAACATATGAAGGCGGAGGGAAATGAGAGAAGTGAAGAGGTGGTTACGACAGTGGAAGGTCGAGGGAGATGGCAACATGCAAATCTGGAGAGCAAATAGGAGCCGATACAGTAGATCTAGCAGCGTTACGCTTGTTCCGGCGATGTAACGGTGGTTCTGACGGCGGTGTGATGGTGGTTCCGATGCCAGCCTAGCGGTGGTTTTGACAATAGTCTGGTGGTCTAAATGTAAATTAAGATGAGAAAGTATGTGTGTAAAGTGTGAATACATCATTCAATATTTAAAACTTGTGGTTAAAATTTGCTCTCATTTGTTCTCAATTTAAGATAAGTTCTCATTTGAATACATACATACATACATATATATATATATATATATATATATATATATATATATATATATATACACACACACACACACACTGGTTTATAACTCGTGGGAACCACGGTTATAAAATTAGTTAAATTTTTTTAATAAAAACTCTAAATTATTAATCAATTACTTTAAATAAATTATTAATTAAAATGTTTTTTTAGTTATATATATATATTTATAATCATTGATTTAAATAAATACGTAAAATTATATCACCTTATAATTTGTATAACTTTATTTTAATGTTTATTCTAATGTTACTAATTTAATGTAATTAAAACGACGAATTTAAATTTTGAAATTTAAAATGTAGAATCAATAGGTTTGTTAAATGGCATTACATTAATTATGAGGCATAACAGGGTGATACATATCAAAAGGAGAATAAACTTTTTTTTTTATTAGAATAGGAAGATATATATATATATATATATATATATATATATATATATATATATTATATA